TAAACCCTACTGTTCTCTCCAATGGGAACCGAAGATGGCTTGTATAAGTCTCCTGTCTTCCATTTTAGCCTCATAACAACCCTATGGGGTAAGTTAGGCTGAGCGTGTGGTGAGCCCAAGGTCCCCCAACAAGTTTCTATGGCAGAGTGGAGATTTGAACCTGGGTCTCCAAGATCTTAGTCCGACACCCCAACCAGTATACCATGCTGGCTTTCTTTTGGCTATTTCTATCCATGCCATTTCTTTCTGCCTCAGTTTTCTCCCAAGTGTGTTGTAAAAAGGTAAAGGTTCCCTTGCTCGAAAGCCAGTCGAATCCGACTCTAGGTTTGCGGTGCTCATCTCCGTTTCAAAGCCGAAGAGCCAGCGCTGTGCGAAGACATTTCCGTGGTCATGTGGCCGGCATGACTAAACACCAAGGCGCACGGTACGCTGTTACCTTCCCACTGAAGTGGTACCTATTTCTCTACTTGCAATTTCTTGCTTTCGAACTGCTAGGTTGGCAGGAGCTGGGACTAGAGATGGGAGCTCACTCCGTCATGCGGCAACCTGGGTCTCGAACTGCTGAACTACCGACCTTCCACAGCCTGCAGTTCAGCATCTTAACCACTTGAGCCACCGCAGCTCCTCTAAGTGTGTTGTACCTATAGATATACTTCCACTCAGCTAATCCTACCCTTCTTTGGGAACAAACTAGTAGGGTTTCCAACCTCCAGGTGGGGCCTGGAGATCTCCCGCTTTTGCAACTAATCTCCAGCTGACAGAGATCAGCTCCCCTGGAGAAAATGGCTACTTTGAAGGGTGAACTCTATGGCATTGTACCATGATGAGGCCCCTCCCCTCCCCAAACCCTGCCCTCTCCTGGCTCCACCCCCAAAGTCTCCAGGTATTTTCTACCTCAGATTTGGCAACCCTACAAACTAGATTGAAAAGGTTTGGTTACTTTCTAATACACTAATTGAAGAGGTTTATTGGGACTAGATAGCCTTGGCAGGCTTCCAGATAATTTATATTTGTTTGAATAACAATTTTTCTAATGACTTCTTGCCTGGGGAACATTTTGAAGTTGGCAGTTCTCTTCCTCAAACAAATGAATATTGATTTTCCAGTAGAGAAGGGCAGAGGCCTGTTTATCTGTGCGGTTTTAAAATGGAAGGCCTAGATTTAGAAACATTAATATATGAAGATATGAGACTGCCTTTATACAGAGCCGGACCAGGAGCCTTGCTCACTACTGTTTGTTCTGATTGGCATCAACTTTCCAGGGTCTCGGGCAGAGAAAGGTTTTCTTGATACCCTGCTACTCAAGATGCTTTGAGTTGGGTCCAGATTAAATTTTCCAATGGCAGAATAGTACTTATAAATGAAGTAGATCAAAAATAAAAATAATGAATGAAATACTTCCTGCCTCCCCTTGTAGCCCACTAATTGCCAAGAAATGTTGCTCCTGGGCGATAGGGGGACCCTGAGAAATGACATGGGGGGTTGCAGCAGGAAGGGGGTATTGGTGGAAATTGCCAGTTTAGTCTGGATCCAACCCTTATTTGGAGACAATCAGGGCTGAACCCAGGACCTTTTGTACACAAGCATGTGTATATTGGTTAGTCATAGCTGCTTCCCCCACCCCTCCAAAATGCCAGTCAATCTGGTATGCTGAACGGAGCTTTGTCTGCTGAAAAATGAGGCTCTGGGTGTATTTAATTGCAGGAAATTTGTAAAGACTTAGATGGATAATAGGGGGAGACTCCAAGATAACTGCTATTGCAGTGGGTATTCAGTTGGGCTGGTGTAGAAATATGTTTTTGTCTTTCTTTTAATGGAAGCACAAACACAGAGGATATTTCCCTGTGGTCAAACACGTCAGGAGGCTCATGTGATGCTGTAGCTGTTGCAAAGTAAGCAGGAGTGGGATCTGGATGTTGATAGTGCAACTCGTTCTCAATAGAGTCGCACCACAGTGTTCCAGCTGTGTCCCATCTGTACTGCAGTATGGTCCAGTCACTTTGCGGTCTATAGATGAGTTTTGCTATGGAACTTGGGGGGTGGCTTCATAAAGTATATCCCTCCCCCATTTGATTAGACACTCTTGTCTGCCACCAGACATACCCCCCTTGCTGTGAATGGCTTTACACCATTGGAGGATGTGGGTCCATACCCCCCCCCCCCCCGAAGCTGTCCTGTTTTGGATTTTTCTTATGCATCATCTTTCATGGAATGCTTTCCAAATATGTATGCAAATGTGACAGTAGCTGGCCATGTCCTTTCCCAGTTGCTTTTGCAGCACGCTTCTTTCCATACTGTGACAGTCATTCTCTTCCCCCCCCCTCTTCTCCTTTGTCCTTCTTGGTTTCTCTCTCTGCATGCAAATAAGGCTACAATTAAAGGTAGGGATTGGCATGGCAGTTGTGACTGTTACATATGCACTTCATTTCCTAGTATGAAGGAGCATCTGGGAGATGGGGATTCTTTCCCAGGTGAATGTCTTCCCGTTTCCCAAACACAGCCTGTTACCTCTGGGAAATAAAAAAATCTCTCTCCTACCTGTACTGGCAAAGCCACTGGAGAGGAAGTAGCCAACCGATCTTCAGAGATGTGGGTCTGATGCAAGAGTTTCTCATTGAAATGCTTATGCGTCAGTGGAGTAAAAAGACCTTTCTTTGGAAGACTTGGGCTCCAGATTTCTAGATCTTCAGAATCTGTCGGCTGTTGCCTTGGCACTGAATACAAATGGTGTCAGTATCACGGGTGTTAACTTTCTTAGTTCTGTTGTATGCCTGCATCACACTCCCCACTGAACAGACGTAAATTGCTCAGACTTCTCTGGGGTGCTGTGTGCTGATCTGCTAGCAGCCATCTCAGAAATGGATGCAGTGGGATGATACATCTCTTGGGGCAAGGCTGTGACAAGTTTTGGATTGAGAACATCTTGGCACACTCTCCTTGCCACAGCACTGGAGAACCGTGGTTTCAGTCTGGGGAAGGAGAGAAGTGCTGCCCTGCCAGTGTGGTGCCCCTGCCCATTGTCCCTTCTGAGCAGGTGTTGCCACCTTCCAGTTTTGTAGGACCTTCGTCCTGGAGCTACCCATGACAGCCAGAGTTATACTGCTACCCTCCCCTATGGGGTTAGCATCAGGGAAAATAGGGGAACCCCAGGACCCTTTAAAGTCAGGGAAGCAGCGCAAGAAAGAAACAGTGCCACAATCCAAATCTGAATTGGGCTCCCTTGTGATGGAAAATTACGTTTTAAAAAAATCACTGGGAATTCCAAACCTGGAACTGCCAGTAGAGATCTGGTCTGGCCCTTAAGTGTGTGCCATCATCATAAGGGATCACAGCAGATGTAAAAATGTTTCCCTTGCTCAAAAGCTAATTGAATCCAACTCCGTTTCCAAGCCAAAGAGCCAGCTCTGTCCAAAGACATTTCCGTGGTCATGCGGCCAGCATGACTTAACGCCGAGGCGCACGAAACGCTGTTACCTTCCTACCTATTTATCTACTTGCAATTTCTTGATTTTGAACTGCTAGGCTGGCAGGAGCTGGGGCCACAGATGGGAGCTCACTCCGTCACGTGGCACTAGGGTCCCAAAATGCCAAGCTACAGGCCTTCTAGTCTGCAGCTTCAGCATCTTAACCTCTGAGCCACCACAGCCCCTGGACAGCAGATGTAAAAATGCCTTAATAAAAACACCATGGTTTCCCACCAGGGAAAGAAAAGTTGAAACACGATACTTGATTGTGTTGCATGTGTGTGTTATGGCACATGGAACCTCATCACTGGTGTTTTCCAGGTGGCATATCCAGCTAACAACTATGTAATTATTCAGTGGGCTTTTTAAAGACATGGTGCTTCATGGAAGTCCGAGCTCCCCTTTCCTTTCAGTTCTTCTACTTGCCCCTCCATCTCCTGATTTTTCTGTGATGCCAATCACTGTTACTTCTGCTACAGAGACACTGAGAAATAAGAGCTACTTAAGTGAGTCCCTTGCTGAGTCTCCCTGGTCCCAGCTCCTGCCTTCCTGGATTAAGGGTAGCCCTTTATCCTGCCTTGATTGGCACTTTGTGCCTTCATCCCAGGTGGTTGCATATAAATATAACACTTCTGCAATCTCAGTGATGCCCACCTGATTTTATATGGAAGGCGTTGTCTTTGTATTCCAAATTCCTCTGCATAATGCTGAGTTAATGGACCGACAAAACATGATGTGCCACAGTAATGATCTTGCATAATTGCTTGTTACTATCAATATGTTCTTGACTTTAATTCTTCTGATAACAACAAAAATGTTTAAGAAACTAACTTTGTACACAGCTTTGGGGGACAACACTTGGATTAGCTGTGGTGGTTGCTGATCAATATATTGCTGACCAAGCTGTGCTCTCTGTGCCCCCCCCCTTCAGAGGTGAGATGAGTGGCAAGCAGAGGCATGGCTATGTCAGTTGTGGGAACGCCCTTCCCCTTGAGGCTCGCCTGGTTCCTACATTACTCTTTTTAGGCACCAGGGCAAAATGTTTCTGCTTAGCCAGACTTTTACTTAAGGGGCTGATCTTTTAACACCATTTTTATGGTATGTTTTTTTAGCCTGAAAACTATTCATGTCAAGTTGCTCTTTTATGTTCTAGTTGTTTGTTTAATGTTGAATTTCAGTTAACAGCTATTAATGCTTTTGTGTTTTATTTTCTTACCTGCTTTGGACAAGTTCCCTGACAGGGGCAGCATTAACACTTTCGGGGGGGGGGGGGAATCATAAATTTAAAAATGTGATGAAACCTTTGTCTGGCTGCAACAAGAACATCACAGCAACTCAAAATGAAATCCTCTTAAACTGCCCCCTCTTTATACTTGGAAGTTTTGTTTTAAGTCACCAGTTGGAAATTTAAGCACAGCCTTTTGCTGAGACTCATGGATGCTGGTCTATCTGGCTTCATCTGCAGAAAATGCACTGTGTGCCTTCAGATCATCCCCTGAATTACTGACTGAAGTTATCCATGTCTCATGTCTGTAGGGGGGTTTGCTATTGTATTCCTGGTGAGGACCGGCAATGGGATGAAATGTGCCCTCAAACGGATGTATGTCAACAATGAATATGACCTGCAAGTCTGCAAGCGGGAGATTCAAATCATGGTAAGCCCGTGCTGGATCTGAGATCCTGAAGTTCTCATAGAGTGCGTGGAAGGCCTTATGTGTATTGAAAAGCTAAGTCTGCATGCTGGATAAGTGAAGCTAGCTTTATTACTTCTGTTCTTCTTAGATTAGCATTTTCTCCTCTAACTGTCAGCACTTCTCCAAGGTCTCGGGCAAAGGAGGAAAGAAGGGTCTGCCACTGGGATTGATCCTGATACCTTCTGCCTGCAAAGCGTGTACTCTCCCACTAAGCCACCGTTTATCCCATGATATAGCTGGTAGGACAGAACTGCTGCAAAGCTAGCTACAAATAACAACAAATAGAACTGTCTTTAACTATTTCTTAATCTATTAGAGATATCCATGTGTCTGCATGTGTTGGAGGAGTTAGATGTTGGGGCCCAAGACATTAAAGAATAAATAAATAATGTGACAATGGAATGAGTTGGGCATGAAAGTAATTGGGTATCTGAAGAGAGCTGGGAAGGGCATGAAAGGATAACAAAATGTTTTTTGCATAGTTTGTCCAGGGAGCGTAGTTCTTCTTGAAGCCTCCGTTCTTGGATGTAGATCCCCCCCCCCCTTTGTGGCCTGTTGTAAGCAGAGCCCTTTTGCACTAAATATACATCTTTATCTCTTTTTTTTTTTCCCAGAGGGATCTTGCTGGACATAAGAACATTGTTGGATACATAGATTCCAGTATAAACTCTGTGAGCAGCGGGGATGTTTGGGAAGTTTTAATTCTAATGGATTTTTGCCGAGGTATGTAAAAGTTCAGTGTAGCCATGTGGTGAACTTGCACAGTAAGACTCCTGAGTGTCATCCAAGTATTTCAGATAATCAAAGGTGTGGCTAGATTTGTGGAATGCTGCTCAAAGGCGAAGGTGTTCAGTTCAGCATGTACTGGTGAACTAAATGGTGGTGGAAATCCAACCTTTGTATGGGTTCTTTCCTTGGTTCCTGTTCTTAACTCCTCTGTCCAGGTGAGCAGCCATATAGATGTCTGGCTTGTTGCCAGAATCAGGGACCCTGAACTTGTTAGTTCAGAACAGCAGTGAATGAAGATATAGGGTTTGACAAAAGCTAGGCTATTCCAACAAAAATCCAGGGCCATTTTTAGAATCAACCTGCCTCTGTGGCATCATAGTATTTCTCACCAGATGCGTGAATTGAATAGGGGGGAGAACAAAGCATTTACCCAAGACATAGCCCAAATTTCATTGATGATGTTGCTGGGTGATCTGATCAATGCCTGTCAGATCATCACCTTGTGGTGACAGGGATTTCTTGGGAACAACCTTACTTATTTTTTCTGGAGATGAGGAGTATTTGTGCTCCCTTTACCGTTGAAAGTGTGGCCACAATGGGGAAAGTGTTCATGTCGTGTTTGGAATCCATTTGTTTAATGGTGCCACTGACGATTCGTTTAACTGTACGTGCTTGATCACTTTTAATTGCTCTTTGGCTCTGTCCCTTTTCAGGAGGTCAGGTTGTGAACCTGATGAATCAGCGCTTGCAGACGGGTTTTACAGAAAGCGAAGTCCTGCAGATCTTCTGTGACACGTGTGAAGCTGTAGCCAGGCTGCACCAGTGCAAACTGCCCACAGTCCACAGGGATTTGAAGGTAAGTAAGGACAGTCTTCTGGAGAATTCTGCGGTGTGGTTGGCAGATTAGTGCATTTGGTTATCCTCCACATAATAAACCTGTGGGGAGTACAATCTGCATTGTAGGGCTCACTGTGGTGAACAGAAGTCATGCACTTCAGTGTGGCAAGGAGTTCAGATTACTGTGGAATCTCGGGAAGGAGCAAAAGCTCTAGCAACATAGGAAGGAACCCGTTGCACTGTTGCTCAGTTCCCATTTATTTCAGTGAGGCTTGCTTAGGAGACCTCCTTGGTGGATTGTGCCCCACATTACAGAGAGGATCCCGACCAGAATTCCTGCTCTGCACTAAAATGTTTTGGACTGAAATCTGGATCAGGGTAAAATTAACCACTCCCTTCTTGGACAGGATCTTGAAGATCAGTTTATACAGTCAGCAGAATAAATAGCAAAGGGTTTTTGTGGAGGATATCATTCCTTGCTGAAGGCGGGGGGGGGGCCTTCATTTCTGAATGTTCTCTCCTTATTGGGCATAAAACATTCATCCTGTCTGCTATGCAGGCTTTGCTGGTGAATAAGGTCTCTTTTCCTCCGTATTTTATACCAACTGCATCCAATTTCTGTTCTCAAAGTAATGGATATTCTCTGATCAGAATAAAATATTATAACATAAAAATATTATAAAATTGAGGTTTCCAGTTTGGGTTTATTTAAAAAGAAAACAAGGTGAGTAAGGGAGGCTCATTGATTGGCTCAATTCTTCCCTCTTGCGGGGGGGGAGGAAGAAGTGTAAGTATCATCTGTGTTACGTTGTATGTGCAATGAGGTCTGCGTATCCCCCCCAGCGCAAATTGTGGGCCTAGAAAGAATTCTGGAATGGATTTGTAATGTTAAGGCAGCATAAGCAAGTGTGGCTGTGATACTGTAATCTAGCATGCAAGAGTGTATTGTGATGATGTATCCTTGGGAAGTCAGGATAAAATATTAATTTGTAACAGCACTTGTATGTCCCAGAGCCCTCACTTGGAATTCAGTTCTATATGGATCTCTATCATTACTACCCGTGCATACTCATATTTTGTATGCATACAGTGCAGAGCTCGTGTTAATCAAATTCAAGTTGCTGGCTTCTTCTTCTTTTTTTTTTAAAGAGGGATTTGAAAGAAACAGGGATGTGCTCATTCTGTTCCCAGGTGGAGAACATCCTACTCCATGATCGTGGCCATTATGTCCTTTGTGATTTTGGAAGTGCCACCAACAAATTCCAGAACCCTCAGCTTGAAGGGGTGAACGCGGTGGAAGAAGAAATCAAAAAGTAAGCAAGTGCGTGTGTGATGTGTGCCTGACGTACACTGTCCTGTCTCTTCTGTTGTTGCTTAGGTATTGATTTCTTCAGTGCTATTGGCAGACAAGTGTTATTGACATTTCGTATCACAGTTGGTGTTGCAACAACCTTTAATGGGCAGGCGAGGAATATTCCTGCTGTACATGAGGGCCAGCAGCCTGAGAAAGCAAAGTGCCCAATTGTGGATCACCAGGATCCATGTGATTCAAGTCTGCTTCACTATTGTCATTCTCCTTGATATTCACTTGTTTCCTGAACATTTGGGCACTCTACTGTGTGCTTGGAGTTCCAGATTTAGGGAAACTGGGAAGGGCATGAAGGTTATATCACTGGGTGTTCCATTGCTAGGCTCAGAGTTTTTAAAGGAGGCCTGTCAGCATTACAGCCTTAGACTCATTTATTGCTGATTCCCCCTTCACAGGATGTCCTGGGAGCCGTAGATCAAGAGGGAGATGTCTAGACATCTGCAATAGGCGTCTCAACATCTTCCCCCACCCAGTACAATTCCCAGATTCCTTTGGGAGAATCCACGACAGTTAAAATGGTATCTAGTACATCTTGGTTTTTACACAGCCATCTGTGACCTCTATAACTGAAGTCGCATAATGTGGTTTGGATATAGTTTGATATTCAGCCTTTGGTGCATGCAGAAAAGAATAGATCCCTCCTCCCTGGTTTGGTTACGCTATCTGTGTGAAATAGTTTCTTAAATCAGTAATATTGTAGAATTATAATTCTTGGCTATCGACGTAAATCTTTTTTGACAATGTCATCTCAAAGTCAATTACTTCTCAGTGTGCCAACCCCATCACAAGTTCAAAGTCCAGCTGTTATTTGAGGAAAAGAAAATATTTGTATAATTCGTGGGAGAAATACCCATGCAGTTGCTTAGTATTACTTTATCTAATTCCATTATGCCAAAGACTTGAATGCATTTGGTTTTGATTGTAGGTACACCACACTATCCTACAGAGCACCTGAAATGGTCAACCTTTACAGCGGCAAGCTGATTACTACAAAAGCAGATATATGGGTACGTAGGAAGTTTGATGAAATTGCTTGCTCGTTTGTGGCCTGCTGTCTGTGCGCTAGAAATTAAATTGGCAAAGTCTGTCTCTCTCCCCCTTTTCTCTCTCTCATGCACTCAAGCCAGCCAGCCAGCCTCCTCCTGTTCTCTCTGATGCGTGACCAAGGAAAATCCATCTCTACATTCCTGTTCGGTTTGCTTGTTGTAAGATTCGCTAAGGGCTTTTAGAAGAAACGTGAGATACAGACGTTCTTAACAAATAAGAGCCTCATCTTGAGTTTCTAAATAATTTCACCAGGGCTAAATTCCCAAGGTCTTTTTTAAACTGTAGTGTATTTCTTTAACTAGTGGCCCAGTCTGTTGAAGAACCTAAAAAAAGTAGCTTCCTATGACATGGGCATGTGTCAAGCTAAAAGAAACTCAGCGTTGTCACTCTGAACCACTCTGTGCTTCCCAGGGGAAGAGTGAGAGAGATGTACAGATAAATTTGAACTATGTAACCAAGGGCTAATCCCCCCGCCCCCGCCCCAGCTCCTTTGCACACAGTTTCATGTTTGCATTGGAGAATTAAGAGGCTTCCTTTTTTACCTGAACATTTCTTCCTGTTCTGCCCCCAAAGGAGCTATAGGAAGCATCTATTCCCTATAGTGTAAGAACTGTCCTTTGCTTATCCTGGGTCCAATTTCACTGCTAATGTATGCAACAAAGGGTGTTCTCCAAGCTGTGTCATTTGACATAGGGCTGGTTTTTCAGTGGCCCACTGTCCTTTGGAGTGTTGGAAGAGGCAATATGATGTGACCTTTTTGGTGGGTGCTCCCCAACAGTGGAACCTCCTTCCTCGCCAGCTCCTGCAAGCTTAGATCACCTTCTCAGGCTAGTGTAGGCAAACTTTCCATTTTGGGGCAAGCATTTTGTGGCTGAGATGTATATTTAGCGCTATATTTTATTAATGCATTCTTATAGATAAGCTTGCCTTTTAATATTTTATAAGCCATATCTATAATGACTGTTTATATATTGCAGTTTTTCTTTTTTATCATTGGGGGATGTAACTTGCCCCGAGCACTTGTGACTGGTACGGTATTGTAAATCAAGATGAGCGGCTGAGGATTGTTCTGAAGGGCAAATTCTTGTGTTCCAGTTCAAGGAAATTGATACTTGGAAGCCCGGTCATAGTGCTCCAGGGAGAATGCTAAGCTTGATACAAGGATTGGTCCCAGCTTCCTCCATCCTGCCCCTTGGGAGTTATTAACTTTTATTTGAATGTGGTATTTTATATAAACCTCCAGAAAGGGTGTTTTTTTTTAACCAATTGGTGACACTTCAGATTACTTCCCATGACAACCTGAGACGTTCTTTTGTTCTCTTAGTGGATGGAATTCATCTCCTGTTTTCTCGTTTTATTAGTGAAATAGATTTAAAATCTGTTTCCACAGCTGCTATTCTAGTATTAAAAAAAAGTGTACAGGACTTACCTCTCTGGTAAATATACTACACTAAATTCTTTCCAACAGTGTATGCAGCTGGAAGTTTTGACTTAGTTATATCTAATCTCCTTTTCATTCATCACCTCATTTAATGACATTACTCTAAATCAGGGGTGTTGGACTCATTTGTTATGAGGGCTGGATGCGACATAAATGAGACCTTGTTGGGCTGGGCCATGTGTGTCATAAAATGTAATGCCAGGTAGCAGAGATACAAACTTTATAAAGGACAAACACAAAGGGTTTTTAAACTTAAAATAAAAATATGCTTAAAACATTAGCACTCTTGCAATATTTTGCTTATTTAACAGTGTCTGATAACTGACAATCAAAATGTCTGTGCTGTTGCAATCTTGAGTATGCTGTTCAGGTGTGTATCTGTAAGCTGCAAACCTACAATGATGTAGCAGCAGCAGAACTGGAAGAAAAAGCAGAAGACAGGCCTGCAGGCCTGATAGAAGCCCTTCAGGGGCCTGATCTGGCCCCCGGGCCACATGTTTGACACCCCTGCTCTAAATACTGTCTATGCTAAATGGCCTGTCTGGCTTCTTATAAATGGTGCTCTTTTGATTGATTATGACAACAGGTTGGAACCCAGGGTGGTCTTCCACTGTTCTGTGCTTTGCATGAGAACGTAGTGTGAGGAAAAGGGAAACTAATTTCCAAGAAGTTTATGCAGTCTTTGAGCTACAAGAGTCAGCTCTAAGTTGCACAGCTCTATGGTCCAGAAAGTTTGAAGAAGAAGAGTTGGTTTTTATGCCCCACTTCTCTTTACCTTAAGGAGTCTCAAAGCAGCTTACAATTGCCTTCCCTTCCTCTCCCCACAACAAGCACCTTGTGAAGTAGATGGGACTGAGAGAGTTCTGAGAGAACTGTGACTGGCCCAAGGTCACCCAGCAGGTTCTCCAGATTAGAGTCTGCTGCTCTTAACAGCTACAACATGCTGGCTGTTTCTGGAAGTTACCTTCCACTGACCTCAGGTAAACTTGGAACAATTTTAGCAGCACCAATGATTTCTAGATTCAGTACCAAGGAGTCAGAAGTAGAGACTATCGATGAGACAAGTAAGCTTTCTGTTGTAGCAAACAAAAGACAGCATGGTGCTTGATAGTGCTGATCCATATATGACAGCGGAGGCTGCCTTTGTCTGTGAATGGAAAGTCATGGAAAGTGCCCTGATCTCCTTCCAGGCCCTGGGCTGCTTGCTGTACAAACTCTGCTATTTCACTTTACCGTTTGGAGAGAGCCAAGTGGCAATTTGTGATGGGAACTTCACCATTCCTGACAACTCTCGCTACTCCCAAGACATGCACTGCCTCATAAGTAAGTATATGTCAGAAAGGAGGGTGGGAATCTGTATGGTTGGCATTTGGAGAAAGAGATATGGATGTGGGTCAATGTTCCCTCTAAGCTGTGGAGTCCTGTGAGCAAAAATTCTACTTTGTGAGCTACTGGCATTAAAGTTGTGAGCGAGCGGTTTGGATACTGCATAAATTAGTCGGCTCTGGAGCCATCCTTCCTGAGCTAAGACAAAAATGTGTGAGCCGGGGGCTGAAAAACTGTGAGCTAGCTCACACTAACTCAGCTTAGAGGGAACACTGGTCTGGGTCCTGATGAATTATGTCAGGATGAGCCAGGACTGGGTTCAACTAAACCAGCCTCAGAGGACAGAAAACTAAAACAGCAGAGGCAAACAGTGTAGTTGTAGATGGAACAGAGGTCAGGTCCAACACTTCCTGAGTGCTGAAGGCCAGGGGGTGTAGCTGTAGGCTGTAAGGCAAGAGGTAGGAGACATAGCTGTAAGCAGGTAAGGGAATCAGGTCAAAGAAGCATGCAGAATAGAGCTAGATCATTCCACAATCTACAGATTATTAGGAGCCCTAGCTCTCCTCTGATTGGCTCCCCCACTCACATGCTTCTGCTAGGCTGGTCTAGGCTACAGTTCCTGGGGGGGGGTCACTTGCAGGAAGGCGCTGCAGCTCACTCCTGGCTCAGGTTAGTTGGTTTGCTTGTGCTGCATCCCTGGTTCCTAGTGTGCATGCTGAATGTGTGACCGTCTGCAAGCATCCCTACCTGTCCCTGCTGTCTGTGACTGGAAATCCCCCAAGGGCTCATTCAAGCTTGTGAAGGGACAATCAGACTCCCACCTTGTGTCTCATGTTGGCCTCTGTCTTCTTTGTTCCCTTTAATGTAGCTGAAAGGGTACTGCTGGCTTCCCAACAGAGGCTACTTCTGTCAGCTACCCACCGGTTGAGGCTGAAATTGGGGATGTCCACTGTGAAAATATGTGGGCCATTTGGGGGTGTGCTTCACAAGCCCCTCAGCAACATAGAGATGTAAGAATTTGGGCCCCGTGTACCGAATTTCAGGTTTCTTGTGAGGAGATAACCTAGCAATGAATTGCTCAGGCCATCTTAAAACTTATACGATGACATAAATGTATGTGGAATTAATGCGGCAGGGGAGGAAAAGTAAATTAATCAAAACTGGCTCTTGATCAAAGCAGAGATGGTGTTCTGGTGGAACCTGTTAAAGTTTAAGCTTTATTAAGGAAAAAGTGGTGGCAGTGTGATCCCATGAGCCACTGTGTTTTATCCCCCCCCCCCATTTCCTGGGCCAGGTATTCCCTTGGTACTCTTAGAATGACTTGGAAAACATGTGAACCCCTGTAACTATGTGGTTTTCTTCTAAGCAAGTCTGCCTGCTTATGTATTGATCTCAAAGGGTCTAGAACCCTTTTTGCTCTGCTAATGGAAGTACAAAGCTAGACTAATCACAACCAGCTGATTCACTTATTTATTTATTTATTTTTTTACATTGCATTTATATACCGCCCATGACCCCTAATGGGTCTCAGAGCGGTTTACAGTGTACTGCTACTGGTATAGTCGCAGTAGTTAACCTACCTAGGGCCACAGATTTTTAGGGGGGGGGGACTTCCCTACCGACACCCTTATTGGCGGTGCGTTCTCTCTTCTTTCCGGCGGGGTATGCTGGCGTCCTCGGCTGACCGGCACCACCTCAGGCGGCTCGATGTGTTGTACAGTGTTAGATACATTCCTCTTGGCAGCACTGGAACAGCAGAGTTGATGTGCTGGACAACTTTGGTTTGATTCTAAGTGCCCCGAGATCTCTCAGGTTCTTCATATGGGCTCTTATAAGCAAACATTGAAACCCATATGGAAGATCTCAGAAAAGCTGGCTGCTGTGTCTGAAGCTACTCCCATCAGGGTATTTCTACAAAAACGGCTTGTTAGCAGCTAATCTTTAACAGGGACCATCCTTCCATCGAGGAAGGGATAGCTGTCCTGGAATAGAGGTTCCATCTACTAACGTGTCTGCCCAACCAGTCCCACCCACTATGGTGAACACTAGTGGCTTGTCTCTGACAGAGCCACTGCTGTTGATACCGGAGTCTCTTGTCTGCATATGAGTGGGCAACTGAATTATATATCAAAGCAGAGGATCCTGGCTTTGGGAATGATATTGGAGGCTGGTTGGCAACCCCCTGAGAGATGGAGTGCATTCACTGACCCTCCTGTTGCTAATCTGTATACGAACTGATTTTAAAGTAGTTATTTTGAAAACTCGTGACTCAGTTCTTCCAAACATTCCATACCTGAAAGTCTAATATGTCCTCTGTTTCTTAGGATATATGCTGGAGCCAGACCCTGACAAGAGACCAGAAATTTACCAGGTCTCCTACTTTGCATTCAAGCTAGCTAAGAGGGAATGTCCAATTCAGAATGTACAGGTACGTGAGGACAGAATCCCTGGCGGTTGAAGGGAGGTAACCGCATAACAATGGGGGAAATTTCTTGCTTTGTTCTGCTTTTCTTCCAGAATGTGTAGGCCCTCTTCCTTAAATGAAGTGGCAAAGGGTGTAAAGGTGTACTTCTTTTTGTATGGACTGGTCTAAGGACTGTAGAAATAAATTGATTGATTGAGTGATTGAAGTGGCAAAGCAGATTTATGTATTAGCTTCCCTATGTAGTGGCCCTGACACTGTTAGTATCTCTGTCGCTTTTTCCGTTTCGAACCATTTTATAGAGTTAGGTAACGAAGAGTGGTGTTTATGTATGGGAAATGTTTGCATTCCCTTTTTACTGGGGTTGTGATGCCTACATGTCTCATACCATCACTGCTTCTCCCCTCCTGCCCAGGTGGTCATTAACAGTCCATCCAGATTTATGTCCTGAGTACACTGAAAAGTGCTATATATTTTGTGTAATAGTGGAGCTACTGATAGGGAGAGCTGTTGCTTCATGTGTCTGGGCTGTTCTCCTTAGCTATTGATGAGCCTGTGTAACTTTCTGCTCTCTGTGTGTGTGCATGAACAGTAAACATAAATAAAATGAATATTTGGTTTCCTACTTGCAGAACTCCCCAATCCCTGTCAAGCTTCCTGAGCCAGTGAAAGCAAGTGAAGCTGCTGCTAAGAAGACCCAGCCAAAAGCCAGGTAAGAGCACCTGTTTTTAAGCAGGGCTGCTTTGACTCTGACCAGCAAAAATCTGGCAAGCAGCTGTGATTGCCTTCTGGAGACGTGAGGTCAACTCATGCGGCAGCCTTGGAACTTCATTTCAGAAATTTTCAAGGAGCCGTAAGGCAGCAAATGCTACACTAGGGCATCGGCCTCATTGTTCCTTTTGCCTTCTCTTTCTTCCTCCCTGACTTAAAAACTGCTGTGCTGTAGTAGGCAGAGTGGAAGACCCCGGGTTCTGGGAGACCCCGGGTTCAAAACCCCACTCTGCCATTTTTTATTTAATTTATTTAATTTATTCATTCGATTTAAAACCTGCCCTCCTCACCAAGGCAGGCTCAGGGTGGCTTACATAAAAATTAAATTAAAATAACTAAAAACAGAGCATTTATAAAACCATTCATAAAGTGCTAGTATACAATGTTATATAGTGATGATGAAACATAATAACAAATTGCTTGGTAACAGAGCAATCCTAATGGGGGGGGGTACAGTCAGCAGAGTGAACTTTGTCTGGTTGTGCACTCTCAGCCTAACCTACCCCACAAAAGTGGTGCTGCAAAGATAAAATGACCAAAGAGTGGACATTTTATAGGAGATAACAGAGAAATGTTGGTTGGCTTGCAGAATTTTCAAGACAGTGTACAGCATTAAATAATAAACACTGTTAATGCAAAATAAAATGATAACGTGGTGTTAAGAATGTGGAAATGGTAATATAAAAAGTTGGGACCTGGAGATTATGAATAAGTTTTCAGATTTTTCTGGAAAAAATATGTAAAAGGTAACAACCTGGATTTTGTAGGTAAATAATAGAATAAAGAACGTGACTGCTTCGTTAGAGTAATACCGAGTAGAAGAAAAGACATGGATACTATAATTTTTGTTTGTAACTGTATATCTCTATCTGCTCAGATACCTGCCGCCCATTTTCTTGTTGAGAAATATTCCTAGGTCCCAATTCAGGGCATATCTCCAAGCCCCCTTTGCACTTTCTCCTCTTTGCAAGCCTGGAGAGAAAAATAATCTTTTTTTTGGAACTCAACCCTCTGGTCCTATCGTTGGAGCCAGACTCTGTCCCCAAATAGCATTTTTAAACATAGCTCGAACCAGCCGTTGTGCCCATCTGCTGTGACATCGTTCTTACCTTTACCTTGGACTGTCTTTTTGGATATTTGCTGTCTAGAGATTGGCAATACAGCCCAAGCAGAGTTATACCTTTCTGCACCTTGACTTGAATGAGTTTAGAGGGATAGTGTTCTGGTTAAGGTTGTACTCTGCTTTATCCTCTTTGGCCTCATGTGTCTCCTCCTCAAGTGGAATGTGTTGCACAGTGTCTGTTGGTGTTTGGAATATTTAACTCAATAGGCATTCTAATGCTATAGTGGTTAAAGTGTTGCGCCAGAACCTGGGAGACCCATGTTTGAATTCCCACTCTGCCATGGACGCTTCCTGGGTGACCTTGGGCAAGACCAGTGTTCCCTCTAAGCTGAGTTAGTGTGAGCTAGCTCACAGTTTTTTAGACTCCAGCTCACACATTTTTGTCTCAGCTCAGAAAGGATGGCCTCCAGAGCAAGCTAATTTATGCAGTAGCCAAATCGTTTGCTCTTAACTTTAACGCCAGTAGCTCACAAAGTAGAATTTTTGCTCACAGGACTCCATAGCTTAGAGGGAACATTGGGCAAGACACATGCTTTCAGCCTAACAGGACGAAGAGGATAAATTACTATAAGCTGCTTTGGGTCCCCATTGGGGGGGGGAAGTGGGGTATAAATGAAGCAAATGGAATAAAATTACAAGCCTCTATAAAGCTTCTTTTCAGCTCAAGTATACTGCATACTTTCAGGCTTTTCCACCTGGCTTGTCCTCTGTGAATCTTTTCCTGGGTTATCAAAAGCCCTCTAGAGCTGCAGTGTTCCCGGATGGACATGGCCCTCCATTTGATTCCAGTACTAGAGGAACAGTCCAGCTGTTGGCCTTTCTGTTCTAGTGTGGCTTCTCTCATTTGCTTGGTTGTCTAGAGTTCCTTCCAGTGCAAGCTCCCTACTCTGAAGCACCTTCTTCCGTTCACAGCATGTGTGTGGTCTTGACTGGGGAGGGGACTGCAATAAGGAGGGGGAATAGTGTTCTAGCTTGCTTTGGTTCCCTTCCCAGTTGCATAATTTTACAACCGTAATTCTGAGGAACAGCTTTCAGCCAATATTTAAGCAAAGTGCCTGAAGCAGGACAAGAATTCTTTTTTTTTTAATGACAACAGTATAAACTGTCGTATTTCAGGCTGCCAGCTGTTGCCAGGCAAGCTCATTTTGCTGTTTTTGTCTGTTCCTTCTGTAAATGTATTTTAAAAGTGCAGATTATAAACTGTCTCCAGTATTTGACTACATTAAGTGACTTTGGTATATTGTTGCTGTCCTGGATGGGAAGGGGAAAGCAGTGACTGCTTGCTCCAGTGCTTTCCACTTTGATGGTTCCCTTCCTGTTGGTAGTAGCATGCCTGGGGCCTTGCAGTAATACTCTGCCCACTCAGCATATGCATAACATCTTGCTGAGTTGCCCAGGGTGACTTTGATCCCTCTTGTCTTCTCTTGCCACTCCAGTCTCCGGATCTACTGCTCCTTCATTGGTCCCCACACATCACCACCTTCTTGATGCCAATATAAAGGTAAAGGTAAAGGTTCCCTTGCTCGAAAGCCAGTCGAATCCGACTCTAGGGTTGCGGTGCTCATCTCCGTTTCAAAGCCGAAGAGCCAGCGCTGTCTGAAGACGTTTCCGTGGTCATGTGGCCGGCATGACTAAACACCAGGGCGCACGGAACGCTGTTCCCTTCCCACCGAAGTGGTACCTATTTATCTACTTGCAATTTCTTGCTTTCGAACTGCTAGGTTGGCAGGAGCTGGAACTAGAGACGGGAGCTCACTCCGTCATGCGGCAACCCGGGTCTCGAACTGCTGAACTACTGACCTTCCACAGCCTGCAGTTCAGCGTCTTAACCACTTGAGCCACCGCAGCTCCTTTCTATGCCAATATAGCTACTTCCTTATCCCCACCCCATCCTTGTTCTTTGTCTTATTGGTGCCTCTCCTGCCACCTGATTCCACTAGTAGTGGGTAGTGGCTCTTAGGGACCGAGCTGCCTACCTGGGATTCTGCACGTAAAGCTCTAGGACCACGGCCCCAAATTCTGCAGCTGCAACTAATTAGGCAAATTGGGGGAACTGTGCACAGAGTTGCTTAAAATTACATGCTTTCTGTAACTGAACCAGTTACTTCTGTAGAATTTGGAGATTTGTGGTCATGTTTTGTGTATGGGTGTGGTTTTCCCCCCACAGGGAAGAAAGGTTTGGCTATTCAGGAAAATCACGGGCCGGCTACTGGAAGGAGGGGTTGTAAAGATTTGGGTTCATGGAAAATAATTGGCGGTAGTGGGGAGAGAACTCTAGAAGTTGCACATTTCTTTAAAACCTCCTCACATGTTTGAGGTTTCCCCCCCCTCTTTCCAGGCTGATGGATCCTATTCCTACGACAGAAACATCCATCACCCCACGCCAAAGACCCAAAGCTGGGCAGACACAACCTAATCCAGGAATTTTGCCCATCCAGCCTGCCCTGACTCCTAGGAAAAGGCCCACAGCTCAAGCAAATGTCCAGGCACAAGGTGAGCGAGGGGAGAGCAAGGGGTTGGGTGGGAGGTGTTTGAGACCCTCATAGAGGAACACACAGAGAGCCAGTTAGTTACATCATTTGAAGTATTCTATGGGTGAACTTTCACCTCTAAATACATATGCACACTCCTTTTCAAGGACTGTATTAGAATTTCCTGATCTGCAGGTTGTGTCACATATTGAAATATTTACTCATAAAAATAGTGCCTATGGGGATATCGGTGTGAGAGGCCTCTGGTCTTAAAAGGCATCGTGTCCTAGGGCTTTTTATGGAGGGTAGCGCCTGTGAGCAGGAGTCATTGGTGGGTTATTGGGGGGGGGCAAGAGGCGTGTCTGAAATGTTTCATCGCCATAACTCTTTGTACCTTACGCTAAAAAAATGTTTACAGTTCTGAAACAAGACAAACTAGATTATGTGACTTGTATAGAATTATACTTCCCTAGGCTCTTACTTTGCATAACCAGTTCTGGGTTCTGCTACTCACAGGGAAGGCTTTAAAAGGCCTGCTCCAGACAGCAGAAACTCGCGGGCAGCCACTACCAGGCTTTGGAGATCTTACCGGCCATTGTCCACAGGCTTTCAAATGTGTTTTGCAGTCCATAAGGGATAGGATGTTAGTTTTTGTTTACAACAAAAGCCTGACATTTTTAGGGAGCCAGACTCTTCAGCCAATTTTATATTCTGCGCTCCTGTGGGAAAGCCATGCCTAATCAGAGTTCAGTTCATAGGCGAGACTGCCCCTCAAGCCGCAGCAGTTCATACTGTCACAGCAGGTTAGAGGTACTGGCGATGATGGGCAAGGATGATGCTTTCTCTCACAGTTATGACACAGAAACTGGCTTGTAATTGTAATAGAACTGGGGGTGGGGATACCACAGCAGGCCTTGGTGCTGTGACGGCTCTGGAACTGGCACTAGTATAATGGGACATGCCTATAAGGACTGCCCCTGTGAGAGCCAGTTTGGTGTAGTCGTTAAGAGTGGTGGATTGTATTGAATATACGTTTCAATTTTCCTCCTGTTTACTTGCAATGTTATGTAAAGTTTAGTAAGTTTGTTATCCATTAAAACAAAATTAAAATTGTAAACAAAAAAAGAGTGGCGGATTGTAATCTGGAGTACCGGGTTTGATTCCCCACTCCTCCACATGAAGTCAACTGGATGCCCATGGGCCAGTCACAGTTCTCTCAAGAGCAGTTCTCTCAGGGCTCTCTCAGCCCCACCCACCTCACAGGGTGTCTGTTGTGAGGAGAGGAAGGGAAGGAGATTGTAAACCACTCTGAGACCCCGAGTGAAGGGTGGGGTATCAATCCAATCTCCTCCTCCTCCTCCTTCTTCACTACAAAGTTCAGTTGTATTTGTTGCCATCTTGTTGAGAAGACATGCAACCTCTCTGGAGTCTGGTCCAGAGTTTTCCGTTGTGTGTGTGGTATTTGTATGTTCAGGAAATAAGCCTGCTTTACAGCCATGCCCCCCGCTAATCTTTAGGCCACAGACCTGGTCCAGAAGGCTTGTATCCTTTTAACAGTCCCTTGCGTGTCAATCGTTGAATTGCTGGCTGTCCTTTATCATTAGTAGTTGTGTTACACCTGTTTAAAGTGGCTTCTGTAGAACCAACATTTAAAGCAAACAAGTATAAAAAGTTTTACAAGTCCTATGCAGGGATGGCCCTTCCTGACCTAAGGTAAACCCTGCATAACACGGGGTTTTAGTTAAACAGGATATCCCCTTGATAGTTTAACTGGTATTGATTAGGCTACAATTTATGAAAGAGTGAATATGATCATCCCCCCCCCCGCCCCACGTTTCCTGTATTCCTTTTCCTTGCTAAATGAAACATGTCTATGTTTTCAGTACTTGTTCTGTGGGGAAATTCAGAAATGGCCTTTAAAAAAAAAAGCAAAATGGTACAGTTGGTGTACACAAATCTGACCTTAGTGCTACGCTCTATTCTCCACCCTGTAGCTGCAGTACCAGTGTCTTTGGCTAGCAGTCAGCCCTCAATCCCTGCAGGTCTCCCGCAGCCAAAAGCTCTGCCTCAGCCGACTCAACCTCAGCCGAAGCAGCCGGCCCCCGTACAGCCGCCTGCTGCCGCCTGCCAGCCACAGGTCCCTCCGACTCAGCCCCAAGCCACTCCTCAGCACCAGCTCTTCTTAAAACAGCAGCAGCAGCAACAGGCTACGTTCTATCAGCATCCACCGGCAGCCCAGCAGCCAGTACAAGCTCCACCACAGGTGAGGCTTTGGGTCCTGGGGCGGGGAGTGGGAAGTTAAGCAAGGCAAGAGAGGACCTTTTGTGGTCCTTAAAAAAGGTGTATCCTGATTTTTACACTGAAATGAAATATACGAGGCTGCTTACAGAATTTTAAAATAAGAGTAATTTTTTTAACCAAAAAGAATCAACTCACACAGATTGTAATCAGTCAGTTGTCCAAATTTACAGTGCCGCCCTATGCAGAGTCAGTCTGTGTAGGATTGCACCATTGCATTCTTTGAACTGATAGCAGTTGAAATATGTACACATATTTGGATGCTAGGCAAAGACATGTGCTGTGGCAAAGCTAGCATGTGCTGATACTTTAGGCTATAGCTTTACAACGACAGTGCATGATGCCTATGTTTGCAGGAAAATATACAGGTTTTGCCAGTTCCAAAATCAGAGAAACTTGACATGCACACCCTGATGCACACAGGATATATAACCTTTGAAAACTTCAACCGTGGTATTAATTCTGTGGAATGCGGAGAGCTGCATTCACAAGTGCAATCAACCAAGAGAGTCTCATTTACTTCCCTCCTTGGCATGAGGGCTTACACCTCCAGGAGACTCACAGCTTACCCATGCCTCAGCTGGTGCGCTGGGCAAGGGCCTTGCCAACTTTTCCTGGAACACGAAACAGATGCCACTTTTGGAAACAGCGCTCGAAGAGCCATAGGTGGTATTTCAAAGAGCCACGTGTCTCCCAAGCCACCGAATGAGTATCATCTATATATCTAATAGCGAAGTTGCCCCCGGAGTGTGGATTGCTAAATCAGCGCTCCGGGGGCAGCTGGGGGGCCGGGGGAGGTTTGTGCACACGTGGGCCAGTCCCCACGTGTGCACAAAAATAAAAAAAGTTGAAAAAAAATTCGGGGGGATGTTTAAATCCCCCCGAAAGTGCAAGAGCGTCTCCTGCGCGTGCGCAGGAGACGCTCTGGAACATCGCCGCCGGAGCCGGGGGGTGGGGAGAGAGAGAGTGC